GTATCTTTGGCAGAGACTTCACAGTAGTGATGTGAAATCTCATTGAAGCCTAACAGGTAGCACATGGTTTTCATTTTCCACATGACTGATTTTGCTTTCTTTGTTAACTTGATTAAGGTGATATCTGCTAGGCTTCTCCACTCTAAAGCACTCTCTTTGTCTTTATAATTAATAAATATTTGAGAGGAGATACTTTAAAGTTATATAAAGTTAACATTCCTCATCAACTTTTCTACTCATTTATCTATTTGTATCGGTATGGATTTATGAATTCTTAATTTATTATATGACTAATAATTCATTACTAGCGTTATACATTTTTTGCTTACACTTTCCTAGATCTGGCCAGTGGGAGCCCTTTCATGCCAGCTCCTCTCTCCTTTTGATATGCCCTCATCTTTCTGTGAGTCGTTCCTTGTTTGTTTGTTTGTTTGTTTGTTTGTAGCAATAAAATGCTTCAGGCTCATCTTCTACTTTCCAAGCCCTAGTTCTGGAATCCGTCATTTCTCTAAGGAATCCTGGCTCCTTTTAGGGGATAATGGTATTTAGAATCCAAGATCTGGGTGTCAGATGTATTCATTGCTTTTGGAGTGTCATTGCTCCAACATCTTCAAGTGGACAGGCCTAGGGAATATACGTATGTACACACATGTATACATAGTACTTATGCACATTTGTATCTTTATTTCTGTATACTTCTATATATATATATCAACAACTATAGGTTCATACCGATACTTTCAGCTTCAATTCAACATCATCGGGTTTATTCTACTTTTCTCTCTTTTCATGTTGGCACGTCTCTTCACTGGCAGTGAGAAACTTGACTCCCATTATCCTTGCTATGCTTCTGTATTTGATCAATCTCCCTGTGTGTAACCAATCTCCAATCACCACCATCAGTTTCCACCATAAGCCCATCCCTCCACACCCTACCAGTATTTCAACACCCTGTCAGGACATCCCTTCTCGGGTGGATGCCCTCCTCACTCTGCTCAGGCTCTGATACCACACATTGGGCAGCTGTCCCACACAGACACCCTCTTTACATTGCTGAGGCTCTGACACCTTGCAACAGGCTACTCTCTGTCCCCCCTCACCCCACTTGGGCTCCCTCTGGCAGACCTCCCACATGAAGCTCCCCCGATCAACTCAGTAAAGCCTTGTTACATTTCATTTTGATTAGGCTTAAGATGATCTACAAAATGAAGTTAGTTTCAACTTCCTGGAAAATGTTGATCCCAGTGTTACACATTTTTTCTGAGATGTGCTGTTTTCTTTCAGCCAATACTATGTTTCATTAATTAGGAATCTATAGCCTTTTCAGCCATGGCTTTCAAAGGGGCATTGTCATGACACTGGCTCTTTAATTAAACTGATTAATTACAATGTCAGAAGAAGGGTCCAATATGGCAGCCACGTAATACTAAGCCAGGTAACTTTACAAAATCTGCAATGAATAGATTCCAAGGTCCTCAAACTGACCCAGGAAAGCCTGGCGTCTGGGGATGCACAGAGTGGGCAGTGCTGATGATTGCTCTAGTTACACATTGAATACAATTGGGTGGAAGAATAAAAGTGAACTGACACTCCCGAGTGTTACAAATACCTACCCCCATCTTCTTTCAAGGACTGCAGAGAAGTTTAAAAGATAATAGTACATGTGACAATGATATTTAAATACACAATTTTTGAAGACAATTTTTTTGACTTCCAGGTAGATTTCAGGTCTAACTACTCTTGAAAACCTCAGAGGAACTTTTCTTCCCTCCAACTCTGACTTTCTTTAGGAAAAACACCTTGCAAACTGTGAAGTGTGACACAATGATTTTTATTATGAGCTGGTGCTTGTGGTATTCAGGCAGGAATAACAGATGTGAAGTCCCCCCCCCCTTTTTTTTTTGGTGAGGAAGATTGGCCCTGGGCTAACATCTGTGCCCATCTTCCTCTACTTTATATGTAGGACGCTGCCACACATGGCTTGACGAGTGGTGCGAAGGTCTGTGCCTGGGATCTGAAGCTGTGAACCCCGGGGCCGCCGAAGTGGAGTGCGGGAACTCAACCACTACACCACCAGGCCAGCACCATGCAGTCTCTCTTTGGCGCATATTGATTTGTGATTCTTGGGGCTAACTCAGGTTTGTTGTTTTTCTGGTTGCTGTCAGTTTCTTTTGTCTTTCCAGTGTTCAGGACAGCTCTGAAAAATACGTTGAGCTAATTTTCCTTGAACTTCAGCCATCTCTTGTGCTTCTAAGGGTTGATTAGGAAAGTATGAATTTTTTTTGTGCCTTATTAGCTCATGAAACAGAGGAAGCTCTTTGTGAGGCATCTTAGATCTTTTGTCACATTTGTATTTTTACATGAAAAATACTTTGCCATAATGAACTAAACCACTACCGAAGACGCTATCGTGACGTCTATATGCCAGTATTCTTGTCTCCTCCACTCTTTGTGGATGAGAACATTAAAGGGGCCTGAAGTAAGACAGACTTATATTTGAATCTACTAGTGGCTTGGCTAAGTCTCTTAACTTCTCTGAACTTCACTGCTTCATCCTGGTTTTCCACTTCATGGCAATGTGATCCTAAGCAAGTTATGTAACCTTTCAGTGTCTGTTTCCCCACCCATAAAACAAGGATAATAATAGTCCCTACCTAATGGGGTTTTTGTGAAGATTAAATAAAGTAATGCGGATAGAGTGTTTAGCACAGTGCCCAGTATACAGTCAGTGTGTAATACATGTTTGCTGTTCTTAGCTATTATTCAACATGTGGATTTTACATGTTTTGTAGTCTTTCTTCAATGGCAGCATATTTGCATCAGTTCTGCAGTGTATTTGGAGACTATGCCGTGATTCACAGCTCTGCTCTCTATAGTGGACGTATCAGGAAAAGTAGTTGGCTTTTTTTATTGCTACCAACCTTGGTCACCAAGAGGATTTGTTACCTTTTCCCAAGGTACTGGATATAAAGGTTTGAAAGGGCTGACAAGACACAAAGTTTTGGTGGGATTTTATAATTTTAATATTTCAGCCTTGGATGACTTCTCGATAACAGATCTTCCTGGTTGTGGTCTTGAGAGTAGGTGGGGGAGAGACAGTAAGGAGAATGCCACTAGAGTTGAAGAGGTTAAGAAACTGAGAGGCCAGAGTGTTCTGTGGATCCTCCCTGATATTGTTGGGAGTCAGCAGTTCCCAGAGTTCTTTGGATTCCTGTCTGCAAGACAGTTCTTCTCCAGGACATGGAAGCCAGGAGTGATCTCACCCTTCAGGAAGACGCTGCTTGCTTTGAAAAGGAGACGAAAAAGAAAAAGGAGGAAGAAGAGAAGAAGGGCAAGTGGGAGGGGAAGGCGAAGAGGAAGAAAGGAAAAGAAACACAAAGATTTCTAGCTCATAGTGGTTCTTCAGTACACTTGCAATTGCATTTCTGTTTCATCTTCATGCCATTTCTGAATCTCTTTTGGGCTCAAGCTGTGTTCCTCCTACCTAATATTTATATAACAGGAAAAGAGGCCCAGAGCAGTTCTGGCCCATGACGGCATAACATAACATGGTATGTTACATGGCAAGGGGGATAATGTTGCAGATGAATTAAGGTTATTAATCAGCTGAATATAAAATAAAGAGATTATCCTGGATGATCTGGGTGGGCCCAATGCAATCACAAGAGTCCTTATAAATGGAAAATGGAGGAAAAAGAGAGTGTCAGCATGATGTTATGTGAGAGACTCGAGTGGCCATTCCTGGCTTTGAAAATGGGGGAAGAGGGCCATGAGCCATGGAATGTGGGCAGCCTCTAGAAGCTGGAAAAGGCAAGAAAATGGATTTTCCCCTAGAGTCTCCAGAAAGGAATACAGCTGTGCTAACACCTCCTTAATTTTTAGCCCAGTGAGACTCATCTCAGACTTCTGACCTCCAGAACTGTAAGATAATAAATTTGTGTTGTTTTAAGTCACCAAGTTCATGGGAATTTGTAAGGGCAATAATAGAAAACTAATACATACCCCTTGAAATGTCATGGTGTGTATGTACCAGTCTGAAGTCCTTCAGACTACCAACCCCAGGCCTGTGAGGATCACCTTGCACTGGGGTCCCTGCTTTGACTTGGCCGCTCTGGCCCTGTGCGAGTTTGGATGAGTTGGTATCCCCAACCTTCCACTGAACATATATGATTGGTTGGAAGCCATGGAGAACCAATAAGCCAAATTCCTCCTGAATGGAGTAAGGAGGCCTGTTTCAGCCCAGAGGTGCAAAATCTTGGCTAGATTATCCCAGTAAATAATCAGGAGGCCTGGCAAGGTCCCTGGTTTGTGGCATTCCCTCAGTGACGTAAAGCTTGGGCCTCTTGAATCAATGCCCTTCCACGGGCAGCCTGTGCAGGCAAACTGGAGAAATACCTTGACATCTTCCTGGGCTCATGTACTTCTCCACTCTCCTGGTTTCCTTTTGGGTGAGTAGAGGTGGGCTAAGAAGGCTGGGGTTGTAAAAGTTGAAAAGCACCAGAGAGAGAGATCTGCAGACCCAAAGGGGCTCACAGTCATTTGGTCCCCTCCCCTCTTTGTAAGACAAACCTCTCCGGGCTGAACTAGCAGATTAGCTCAGACCATTTCCCTTTGAGTGACTTGGCAAAGAGAAAAATTGCCTATTACTCTTCCAAATGGTAGTCCTAGCCTGCCCTGGAAGAGAATCCCAGAGAAGTCTGGCTGGCTGAGGAGTCTTGGAAGAGCAATGTTAGGAAAAGTTTGGGAACTGGGAGGAGAAAGGCAGGAAAGGGGGCAGCACTGAGCTGGGGAGGAAGAGGGAGCAGGGTCCCCTCTGACCCATCTCTGTGCTCAACATTTTCCGCCTGTATTTCGGCCGGTGAGGGGCTGACCTGGGGGCCTCTCGCTGGGAGTCCCGCCTAGGGCGGCTCTCCCGGGGCTCCCCTATTTGGCCGGCTTGGCCGGGCTCTGGGCGGGGCGGAGGAGCGCGGGGGTGGGAGTCCGGAGGAAGATGCCCGGAGCTGGCTGCGGGGCCGGGCGCGAAGGCAGAGGGGTGGGGATCTGGGGTGGGCTGCGCCCTCCCGCTCTGACCCATTCCACACACCCCGCGGGAAGCTTACTCTGTCAGCTGAATCACTCCCCCTTCAGGAGGAGGGAGGGGAAATAAAGGTAACTAGCCCCTTTCTGCTTAAAAAAAAAAAAAAAAGGCAAGGGAGGCCGTGGGCCGCTTTTCAGCCGCTCTCTCCCCACTCCTGGACCATGCACTCCTGCATCTTCCTGCTCGGCCACAGGCGAGGACTTTATTTCTTGAGCTGAGAGCTAAAACTTGTTGACTTTTCTTCTACCCGACAACTGAATCATGCCATGTGCCCAGAGGAGCTGGCTTGCAAACCTCTCCGTTGTGGCTCAGCTCCTGAGCCTTGGGGTCCTTTGCTATGGGAGACAACCTCAGCCGGGCCCGGTGCACTTCCCCGACAGGAGGCAAGGTTAGTGGCTTTTCTTTATTTCCTTTGAAAACCGTAGTGGTTAAGACGTGAGAGAAGTTAGTTGCTCCCTTTTCTCTTCCCCCACTCGCTGAACTCTGCAAAGCCATTTGGCTGAGTTGTAGGGAAATCTGGGCTGGGAGCTCAGTAACCTGGAATTCAGTGTTTAAGGTGATGAATCCTGCTTTCTTACTGAAAGGCGAGTATCCCGATCTCTTTTACACTGATGATGCTTCAGAGGTAGCTGGTAACCACCCACCACCTCTCTCCTTTGTCTCCTCTGAATGCTGCCCCAGTTTGAATCTCCTATTTTTGAGATTCTGATCACGGAAAATGATTTTTAAAAAAAGTTCCAACTGGCCATTGGCAGTCATTGCAGTGTTTCTAGTTAGTTTTAAACTTCTCGTCTGCGAAGGGGAAATGTATTCCGCCCCCCTGCTGAGTGAGCTTGGCTGTGTTTTGGTTTCCTGGAAAGATTTAGGACTGTGTTTTAAAAATAAAATCCTTTTGGTGAAAATTTACCCCCCATAGGGGCTCACCTTTCCCTGTCCTGCCTTCCCGATCACAGCTGGCTGAGTCTTTTTTTGAATTTCGTGAAACTCATAATGCTCTAGAAAGCACTGGAGGACTTGTGATAGACGTTTCATCATTATTATTATTAGTTTTAAGCCTAACACCCTGAGCAGGGTGGTACTCTGCTTTTTTACTGGCCTTGCAAGGGTCTGAGACCCTTTCCTGTTTGGTGGGGAGTTCATTGTGCCTCTGGGAGAAAACAGTCAGAGCAGCAGGAATGGCCTGTGTGGCTGGAGAATGTTCCATGCGCCAAGACTGCTAAGGCGCTCTGTGTGTGTCAGCCCATGACAACAGCTCCTAGGGTGCAGGGACCATTGTTACTGCCTCTGTTTTACAAATGAGGAAGCTAAAGCTTGGAGAGTTTATGGGCCTAGCTAAGGGTGGAGCCAGGTTTTGATCCCAGGTAGCCTGACTCCAGAGGCCGGCCTCTTAGAGTCAAGCAGCATTGCCTTATAGCAATAATGGGGACAACACACACACACACACACACACACACACACACACACACACACACGTGCGCGTGCACACAGAGCACTGGGTTAGCAACCATTAAGTCCCGTGTTTGCTGGTTGTGCTCAAGTCTTGGGAAGCTTCCATAGTTTTCTGACCTCCTTTAATCCTCAAGACCACTTGGGTGGCAGACACCACCAGCCTGTCCTTGTTGAGGCTTTCCATGCAGGGTTTTCTGCCTACGTTGCAAAGTTCAAATACCGCTGGAGAGATCACTTAAGAGCTAGCAGAAGCAAGTCCCTTTGCTTTCCTTGAAGGCTGGAGCCCGCAGACGCTGGGGTTGGATGTCAGTCAGCCAGCACCGGCTTGTGTAAACGGTCCAGATACCATCTCCCACCCCCAAGTTTAAAATAGCCAAGACTGTTGTTCTTTGAAAAACGGCCCCTTTGTGAAAAGTCTCTCTTCTGCGGCAGCACAAACAAAGCCTGCGAGCACTTCCCAGGGCATTTGGAGATGCTTTGGTTCAGACACACATTCTCTTGGGTTGGTTTTGAGCTCTGTGTGCTCCACATCTTTGTAAGCGAATTCAGCTTAGTGTGGAGCAGACCCACGGGGCCTTGCTTTCTCCTTTCGGGAAAGTGGGAGATGGTTGTTTTCCCTGGTCGCCTTTAGGATTGTGTGCCGAGAGTAGTTGATCTTGAAAAATAGCTGTAAAGTGCACTGAGCTTATTAGTGATGCATAGATATTTAGGTTTTAAAAAAATTTAAGGTTTTAAAAACTTTTTCACTGAAATATTTGTTCTTAACTCACCAGTGGATTTACAAGTAATCAACATTTCATGCAAAGAAGAAATTTCTGAGCAGACTTTCATTTAGAACTAAGTTGAGAGAGAGAGATAGAGAAAGGATGAGGTCAAACTAGTGAGGGAAGGAAATTGTAAGGCTTCCTGGGAATAGGATGACCTGGGTTTTGCCTCTGAATGACCTGCCTGCTGCTTCACAATTAATCACTCTCTCTAGACTTCCATTTCCTCTCACGACATTTTTTAGTTGTATGCAAATTCAGGATATTTAAACTTGCAAATTACTTCAGATAGCATCTCTCCCATCCTTATCTTTGATGAGGAGTGGGAGGCCTAGGTGGTCAGTCTGTTGACTAAATGCCACTTCACCAGAGGGGTGAAGGGGATTGCACAGGGCCCCACAGTTGGAAACACATTCAGAACCTAGATAACCATTAAGGTTCCTTCTAGTTCTAAGTGTCATGTAGAGAGTCAGGATTTTAGACCAGGGAAGGAGCATGGAGATAAATCCAATCCTTTCTGGGATTAGAAGCAAGCATATTTGACAATCTTCTGCCCAGTATTCTTTCCCCAACGCTCAGTTGTGATTTATATGAATGTGTAATGACTTCCACAAGGTTCCCAACCAGGTATCAGAACAATGGGAAATATTAATCTCCCACACATATGGTCTCTCTTCTACAGCCAGTGATATCCCCTTAGGTTCCTTATTCGCTGTACTGTTTTCAGGTCAGTGGTCACTTCTACGATCTCTTTTGCTCCTGACAACTCCATGAAATCAACTGGGCAGGCACTGTATCCCGTGTTAGAGATGTGCTCTAGGCTACACAGGCTTGTGCAAGAATGGAGAGTGTTGCAGTGTGTTTCAAGCCAAGTGTTATCATCATGTATTTATGCCATTTGCAAAAAATAACTTCTGCAAGGACGAAATGATTTCAGACATTTTCTTAATGTAAGAAGAGACTTTACAGTTTTGATATTTTATTTGCGTTAATTATAATAAGCAGTTATGGTCTGCTGTTAGTTATCATAGGGTTGTGAGCTAATTCATTATCCTGTGATGATGAAAATAAGCTTCTGGCTGTTGCGGGAATTTCATTGCCCTTTTTAGTAAGGAGTCTTAGAAATTCAATTGCTTTCTAAGATAGAAATAAATATAAAGAATAAGGATAGATTTAACCTAAACTTTATAAAAACTGGCAGGTAAATATCCTCTCACCTGTCTCCTTTCTTTCTAAGCAGAGGGTAAAAGATCACTTGGTGTTTTGTGTTTTCAAAAGCACTTGTGCCAACAGGCTTCACTCGAAGTTTCTCATGAAATATCATTGAAGTTTGAGGCCAAGGGCTTCAAATCTAATTTTAAACAAGGCAAATCAAAGTATTCGGGGCTTATAACGTGTTTCCATAAGCCCTAGTGCAGATTGTGGTGTAATTACGATGTGTCTCAGCCCCTCCCCACAGTCTTGTTGACACCCCACCTTGACATCTGGTTCTCAGTGGCAGACTTTTGAGAAGCAGTGAGGGCAGAGGTTAGAAGGGTGGGCTCTGGGGTCAGGTTGCCCCAGCACGAATCCTTGCCCCCCTTCATTGTCTTTTTACAGAGGTGGGAGTGAGGGCTAAGATGAGGGACATGTTAATAATACCCACCCTAGAAAACTGTGAGGATTAGACCAGACCAAGTTGGTATACTCTATGCTTGACCATAGAAATGTGCTTGTTGGTGTAATGCTGTGCTTGATCATAGAAATGATAAACATTAGGAGCTGTTATTATATCCTGACATCTTATTTCTCCATCCCTATCATATCCCCTCTGAGCTCTGCTTTCTACTGGTCAAGATTATAGCTAGCTAATCTTCAAACTAAACACCTACTGAGAGGAAGCCAAGGTGAGTGCCGGCTTCTCCCCTATCTCTGCATGGAGGTTACATGCATGTATGGCCACAGTGATCCTGGTAGCTAAGTTTCTATCTCTAATATCCATAGTAGGTAGTGTTTAGACAGTGAGTGCTATTTATCAAGCACTGTTCTAAATCTATTATGTGTATTAATACGTTGGACCCTCACGACCACCCTAAGAGGTAGATACTATTATCATTATTCCCATCATATAGAGGAAGCAACTGCAGGAGGGTCACCCACATATACCACACTCTGTATGTGGCCTTCTATTTCTATCCACACCTATGGGCTGACATGGCTTGGCTGCCTCCTTTGCAGTCAAATCAAGAGAGAAAACTGGTCATATCTCCCATTACTCTGCCCGATAAAGAGGCAATCATTATCTCCATTTAGTGCTGAGCACATTGAGGCCTCTTAAGGAAGTCAAGCAGTTCTTTCCTTGTCAGATCATCTCCCCAGGGGCAGTGCTATGGCCTCTCCTCTGTTACACTCTCTGCCAAGTGCAACTTGGCACTTCACACACTTAAGTGTGTGAAGTGTGGTGGCTAAGAACATGGTTTTGAAATAGGAAGCACAAGATTTTAATCCAAGGAATGCTGCCTATTGTCTCTGTGACCTCTCAGACTCAGTATCTTTGTCTATGAAATGAGAGCAATAACAATCTGTATCACAGGGTTGTTGTGAGTATTGAATGAGGAGACGCTTATGGTACCTGGCTCAGAGCAAGTGCTCCTTGAATGGCTACTATGATTATCATCATTATATTCTTATACAGCTGGCTTATGTTGGCTCTCTTAGCAACTCATTAGATCAAAAGCAACTGGGTCAAAATCTGTAAATTTATTTATAGAATTTATTTATAAATCTTTTATTCTTTGGGCAATAGGTGCTGGGACTTGGGCAAACTTTTGTCTCTCATTTTATATTTTCAAAAATCATGTTTAATTCTTTGAGATGTAGCTTCAGAGACAGGCCCTCTAAGGGATATAAGAGCTTCTCTTATAGAAGTCAGCATCTCAACATTGACTACACACAGGGAGTATCGTTGCAAGATATGGCTATACTCAGTTGAATAAGACTTTTTCTGCTCCTAACTTCCCTCCACTGCTCCAACCCTGAAGGAGCCAGAGACATCATTGTGAATAGTAGAAGAAAAGATCAAGATGGGAGAAATCCTGTAGAAGCCAACCTCATCTGCCCCACTCAACCTGGCCATTCCTCTCCTGAGGTCTGAACTTGGAAGGGCAGTGAAGCTCTGATACTGAATAGGTTCAGATATTCCTTGGGGAGTGGGCGGTACAGAGGACCGAGTCAGTTTGACTCCTAGTTCATGGCACACTAGCATCATTAATTTGTGCAACACCCCTTCCTTTTTTTATTTATTTATCCATTTTTTGTCCCCATTCCGCGCTCCCTTTCCTCCTCACAGAAAACTGTTTTATTTCCATATGTAGTTTTTGTTCGCGTATGTTCTGGCAAACTTTGTATTATTGTTTTTGTGTGCGTGTTTTTCCCATTAATGTAAACGGCTCTGTATTAACCTGTTTTGTTTTTTATTTCTCGTTGAGCATTGTTTTTAAGATTTGTCCTCAAACATCAAAATGAGGAGGCAGTGGTGGGGATTTAAATTTAAGTCAAAAGGTGTATGCGTTCTTTTGTGTGGAAGGAGCAAGTGTTCTTGTCTTGCATTTTTAAAGTGGCAATTTTCATATTTTGAGCCCATGCCTCAGATCTTAATGTGTTCACTTATTATTTTCTTTCGTGTATATTGTAAAAATAAAAAGGAAACACCCAGGTTCCTTTAAACATTCTTTCCTACCTTATGGAACACTTATGCTGTAATCGGTGTGAGGTTTGTCAGAGTGTATATGATGGGTTCGCTGTGTTTTTGCATTTTTCTTCCAACCTGATTTAACAGGAAGTTCCTGGGGCGTTTAAGCTCTTTATAATAAAGAGTGAAGCTCTGTGATTCGTATTAATGAAGTCTGGACTTGCAATGTTCCTGTTCATCATACTGATGTTGCCACTTTCCTAACAGTATTTCTCATGAATTAATTCTCATCTTAATTTGTCTTTGGTAAAACATCTGACATCCAGAGCTGTGCCTTAGTGTCACCTCAGACTGCTACACGTTATCGAGAAGGAGCTACATGTCAATTCAAGTTCAAGGAATTTAATGTTGACAGTATTTGTGTGGCATACAGGATCTAAACTTCAAGGCAACAATGGGATTGTGTAATCAACAAGCTAAAATCTAAGTTCCAAACAGGAGTTCATTTGTCTGGCCACAGACTCAGCAGGGATCTCTCTCAGTTTTATTCTGTGTCTTCTTTTCTTTCAGAGCATTTTATCAAGGCCCTGCCAGAATACCACGTGGTGGCTCCTGTCCGAGTAGATGCGAGTGGGCATTTTCTGTCATATGCCTTGTACCATCCTGTCGCCAGCAGGAGGAAGAAGAGAGATCTGGATGGCCCAGAGGACCAGGTGTACTATAGAATTTCACATGAGGAGAAGGACCTGTTTTTTAACTTGACAGTCAATCAGGGATTTCTTTCCAAAAACTACATCGTGGAGAGGAGATATGGGAACCTCTCCCATGTTAAGATGGTGGCTTCCTCAGGCCCCCCCTGCCATCTCAGGGGCACGGTTCTGCAGCAGGGCACCAGAATCGGGACTGCAGCCCTCAGTGCCTGCCATGGACTGGTGAGTGCCTGGGTCCATCGCCTTCCTCCTCCGCCCCTAGGCCCCTACTGTCTTGGCCTGCACACCCATTGCCGATGGGTTCACAGACGCATTGAACACACGCAAATTGAGCACTTGTGATGTCCATGGTCCTGGCCTCCAAGTGGGTTGGGGAGTAAGTGCATGAAATTAAAAGTCGACCAATCTGGAAGGTACAGAGAGTAAGGGCAAGGAGGGTTCAGAGCAGGGAGAACTCCAACCAGGAACATTGGGGAAGGAAGAGGGAGGATTGGAGGTGGATCTTCAACCTCTGAGGCCGCTCTGAGGGTATTGGTGACTGACTGGCTGGCCAGCCCCTTTTGAGTTAGGAAAACCTGGATTTGGAATGAGTGAGAGGCTTACTAGTAATGATAGTGACGTCAGCAACTGCTATGATATAATGGTTGACAATGTGTACTTCATAATCAGACTTCATGTGGGACCTTGGGCTGTCTGTGGATCCCTTTGTGCCTCTGTTTTCTCATCTGTAAAATGGAGATGATAATGATAGTACCCATCTCAGAGAGCAGAGGTTGGCAAACTCTGGCCCACAGGCCAAATCTGGACTGCCTCTTTTTTCTATAAATGGAGTTTTATTAAAACGCAGATATGCCCATGTGTTTATATATTGTCTATGGCTACTTTCAAACTACAACAGCAAAGCTGAGTAGTTGGGATAAGGACCGTATGGCCCACGAGGCCCAAAATATTTGCTATTTGGCCTTTACAGAAAAAGTCTGCTGATACTTGTAGTAGAATATTGTGAGAATTAAATGAATATATATATATATAAATTTTGGAAGAGTGTTTAGTGGATAATAGACACTCAATGAATGTTGGCTGCCATAATAATTATTTTTTAGGCACTGGAATGTGTGGTTTATGATGTGGTTTGTGTACATTGTCATCTTTGCCCCCCTCCATATTTGTTATTTTTTAGCAGATGATGAAGCTTGGAGATGTTGAATAACTTTACTGCACAGTTACTTTGAGCCTGAGTCTTTCTACTATTACGTGCTACATCTCAAAATGTGACAAAGCTTATTTTTCAAAATTTAAACCTGCATTGAAAAAAAAAACAGTCCTTTAGTTCCCTCTTTCTTCTAGCAGTGACAACAGTGACAGCCCCACCGGCAACTGCATGGCAAACAGTGCTTCGGAATTATGTTGGGGTTTTGTCGTGCTGGAGTAGGAGGCAGGCTCCAGCACTAATGGAGTGTGCTTAGGGAGAAACTGCAGGTGGAGAGAGTCCAGAGTCCTGGGGGCGGTGATGGCAGAGCCTGGGGCATCGGCCTTGGCGCCCAGGCCGGGGCTGGTTTGCTGAGCAAAACCACTAGTGGCATTCTCATTCCTACGGAAGGCACTTGTCCTCAATCTTCCCCTCATTACTGGCAGATTGATGAGAATCCTGCTCTTCGTAATTTAGGATTCTGTTTGTCTTCTACTTGTATAGTTTGGCTTTGTTAGAATACTGTGTGAAAATTAATGTAAAACGTTGTACGACAGTTTAAATGTACCAAGAAAGTCCAGTTTTCTGAAGGACCTCTGGGATGACTCGTTTTGTACAATACAGTAGCCCCCCTTATCCATGGGGGATGTGTTCCAAGACCCCCAGTGGATACCCGAAACCATGGACTGTACCAAACCCTACATATACTATGTTTTTTCCTAAAAATACATATCTATGGTAAAGTTAAATTTATAAATTAGGCTCAGTAAGAGATTAACAGCAATAACTAACAGCAAAATAGAACAGTTATAACAATGTACTGTAATAATTTTTTCTTTCCTTAATTAAGTTGAAAACTTGCACCTTTTTGCTTAAAGGAAGCACTTTGCGCCTTCTCTTTGGCATATCTGAATTGCCAACATCCCTACTCTTGTGCTTTCGTGATGTTATTAAGTAAAATAAGGGTTACTTGAACACAAGCACTGTGATACCATGACACTTGATCTGATAACCCAGATGGCTACTAACGGGCAGGTAGCATATACAGCGTGGATACACGCTGGACAAAGGGATGATTCTTGTCCTGGGTGGGGCAGAGTGGGATGGTGAGAGATTTCGTCACACTACTCAAACGGTGGGCAATTTAAAGCTTATGAATTGCTTATTTCTGGAATTTTCCATTTAATGTTTTCGGACGTCAGGTAGCTGAAACCGCAGAAAGCGAAACCACAGATAAGGGAGGACTACTGTGAATGGAAATTCTCGCATTGCCTTTTTCTGTAAATCTGGATTTTCATATTTAGGTATTTATCATTTCCCCCTAATTGGATCATAAAGGACACAAAATCAAGAATGATGCCCTATTCTTTTCATCTTCTCCCCAGGCCTCATACAGTGCTCGGCTGAACTGGGGGATATCTCCTAGCTCCACGGTCCTCACCCTCTGGGCTTGCTCTGGATTCACATCACATTTTCCCTTTGCAATCCCTGCTCTCATTTCTATGAGACAACTCTGGAAGCATCAGTGACACCTGATCCTCTATGACTAGGGGAGCAGAAGAAAGAGCCCCTGTTCTGGAAGGACAGGCACATAGGAATGAAGTGATCTATGAGACAAACATGCAAAGACCACACTATGCCAAAGAACATTGGTGTGAGAACCCACATCTATTCATTACATGCAAATCATTATCATGCTCATAAAATCGTAGGAAGTTTAAATGCAGGTACCTTTCCGTGGGCTAAGCAGTGTGGCCTGTGACCCTGTAGCACCAGCATCACCTGGGAGCCATTTAAAAAGGCAAATTCATGGGCTTTACTTCAGACCTAGTATCTCAGAATCTCTGAGGTGGCCAGAAACCTGAGTGTGTTTTAATAGCTTTATTGAGATATAATTCACATATATACAATTTACCCACTTAAAGTGTACAATTCAATGACTTTAAATATATTCCAGAGTTGTGCAACCATCACCACAATAAATTCTAGAACATTCTCATTAGCTCCAGAGGAAACCCTTTAGCAGTCACCCTCCAATCCCCCCATCTCCTTGGGAACCACTGATCTGCTTTTGGTCTCTGTTATGTGCCTCTCGGGAGCCTTTGCTTTAATAGGATTTCCAGGCGATTCTGATGCTCACCGATGTTTGAGAAGCGCTAGACTACAGCAGTCATTCTTAACCCTGGCTGAACATTAGGATCAACTGGGAGCTTTAAAAAAGTACCCGTGCCCCAGCTCCACCTCCTAGATGTTCTGATTTAACTGGTCTGAGGGTGGAGCCCAGGCATCATTATTTTTTAAAGCTCCCTAAGAGATTCTATCGTGCAGTAGGTGTTGCCAACCACCATATTAGTGTGAGTGGGTATTAAGTAGCAGTATTAGCCAATTTTACTCTAAAGTAGCAGCTCTCTCCAGGTGATTCCAGCGTGTAGCCAGGGCTGAGAACTGCTGCTCTCAATTGCTCCCTAATTTCATCTTCTGTTTTCTAGGGGAAATTGCATACTTTTTTTTTTTTTTTAATTTTATTTATTTATTTATTTTCCCCCAAAGCCCCAGTAGATAGTTGTGTGTCATAGCTGCACATCCTTCTAGTTGCTGTATGAGGGACGCGGCCTCAGCATGGCCGGAGAAGCGGTGCGTCGGTGTGCGACTGGGATCCAAACCCGGGCTGCCAGCAGCGGAGCGCACACTTAACCGCTAAGCCACTGGGCTGGCCCGGAAATTGCATACTGTTTAGCATTATTCCAGGCTTGGGAATAGAATATTGGGACCTTTTCAATTTCAAATAGCCCCAGGGAGCAGTGAGAACCACCCTGTGGGCATTTTCAGATGCAGGTCTCAGATTCATACTAAGTACAAGAGCACGAAGAAGCAAATCTTAAGTAATGGACTTGTGTGGTGGCCAAGATGATGGAAAAGTTTTAGATCCAAATTGTTAAATACATTTGCCAGAAGAACCAATCCACTGGAATTATTTTGGAGCCTTTCACACATAATTGGACAATTAATGGATGGTTATAAGAAAAGGCGTCAAAAGCCAAATGAGTTTCTTTCCTTTCTGTGAGCACACAAGCTGGCTGGCTTCAAGTTCACTTGCTCAGGTGCTCATCTAGAGTGGTCTTAGTCAAAAGGACAGTGGTTGGACTTGTGTCTGATTTCTCCTGATCACCTGTCTGAGATCTGACCTCCAGGATACTTATTTTTCCTTTCACCTAGGGATGACCCCACACTCAGATTCACAGGATGGCAGGGTTAGGGTATACTGGCTCTAAGCCTCCAACCTCCTAGGGACAGAGCTGGCATTTGGGAAGGCTTTCTGAGGAAGGAAACTCTCATGTGGAGCAGGCCATCTGCTTCTCATTCCTATGGCTCAGGGCTGGCATATTCTTTGCTTCAGATGTGGTCATCCTAATCTTGAGGGCTGTGTTCTCTTGGAGTTGTCTATAATTTGAGGTTCATTTAGTCTCCCTTGGAGCAGACTCAGATGGTGGCAAACTGAAAACCCAGGAAAGGTCACACGTGACGAGCTGTGACAACCTCCTCCTCCGTTTAATATCCTCTCACACGACTCTGGTCCTCTCCTCTTGGAGGCTGCTTTCAGACTGAGTCAGCCCACGTCCCCCACACAGCAGCTCTTTCTCTGTCATCTCCATTGTTTCACGACCCTTTCTCCCTCAACACTTTTATAACGTTGAAGTTATGGAATTTGTTTCTTTTGAACAGTTTAGTTGATTTGCTCCATTCTAAGTTCTTTGATGGGGAAACTATGTTCTTTAATCAATTAGACTCAGAATTCATCCTCAGTGGGAGTTGTCACCTGTGAGAATCCCAGTGGGGTGGCTTTGGGTTGCTGTTGCCAGAGGCCCTATAGGATTTGTTCCAGGCTAGTTTGTTGTTAGTATTTTCTGTTTAAATTTCTGCACTGGGAGGAATGTACAAAATGTTAGACTTCACACTTATGCATGATAGAGGGGTTCTCACTCTTCATAGGGTACCCCCCTTCCACCAAGGGCTTGGTCTAGGCACCCACCAC